AGTGACTTGTCCAAAGTCACCCAGCTGGCTTTCATGCCTAAGATGGCACTAGAACTCACAGTCTCCCGGTTTCTAGCCTGGTGCCTTAACTACTAGACCAAACCAGCTTTTATTTGTGAAATCAGGCAATAAGCAAAATCAGACTAAATGTTATCACAAATATTGAACTGGGGTGAATCTTTCATACCATTCAGTTAGATAATTACAAATGCAGAGAAAAATCTAGCATCTAGTCCAGGTATGTCAAACCCGCGACGTCATGTGATGTCACACAACGTATTGGGCCGGTTTGCCATTGCCGGCAATGGGGTGGGCGTGGCTTCGTGACGCATCCAGTCTGCGGGCCGGCAGTTTGACACCCCTGATCTAGTCATTCCTACTGATCAGAACTTTCCAGGCAAATGAAAGTGTGTCCTGGATTAAATCAATTATTAAAAGTATAATTATTTAAGATAGAGACAGTGAAGCTATCTCTCACACTTCTAGCCCGCTAAAAACAGAAACTTGTGAGGGAAGTGCGACCCAGTATTTCTAGGCAATGTTCAAAATGCAGAGCATGTGGAACACTGTCTCTCCACCCCCTGATCTATGTGTGACGTGGATAATGTTTACAACACTCTCCCCCCCCCAATTTTCCAAGTAGCAACATCTCTTTTATCAGTTTCAACACAGTCAAGTGCAGACATTCTGTCAACTTTAAGTTTCTCTGCAGCTGCAAAAACTATTTCCGTATCCAAACTCCCAAAAAGCAAAGCCACATCATGTCTGTTTGTGGAATGTGGGATCTGTTTTGCATGCTTTTGAAGCCATAATGGTTCCTTCTTTGATCATGCCAGTGGCCAATGCAAGCAACAATTTTATTTATTTTTATCCCATGTTTATTATTTTTAGAAATAACTTAAAAGGGGTAAACATACCTAATGCTTCTTTCCCCCTCCTATTTTTAGTTATGTAGTTATGTATTCTTTTCACATTTCTGAACGCCCCTTCCCCACAACAAAAGCTCTCTGAGGTGCATTGGGCTCAGAGAAAGTGACTGGCCCAAAGTCATCCAACTAACTTTCATGCCTAAGGCAGGGCTAGAAGTCATTGTCTCCCAGTTTCTAGCCTGGTGCCTTGACCACTAGACCAAACTGGCTCTCAATCTACAGTCCTATATTTCACGGTGCACGAGGTTGGTTAAAATCTGACATTTAATCAGTCAGGACAGGAACTCTAATAGCATACTGTCTCGCCACTTCACATTCTGTAGTGATGTGATGTGGCAGAGGTAACAATCAAGAAAAAGTGATTTGGAACCTGCCTACAATTTTCACTAGATCCAGAAATTGCCTTGCAGCATCACAGCATAAATCAATTCAGTCCCCGTCATCTCCTAATGGAGAGCTAAGTTTCATGATAAGCTAGCAAGCAAAGAAAATATATTTAGTTGTTGCAGGCATATTGTATCTGAGCCTAGAGGTTTTCAGCTTTTTAAAATAATTCCCATTGAAACATTCACACATTTGCCCAATGCTTTAAAAAATATCCATTCAAGCAATGAATCCTAAAATATCTAAATACATATTCACATGTTCGAATAATCTATGATTATCGGTGTTGGATTCATTGTTTAGATCCCTTTTTACAAACCAGTTCACAAAGGGACCTGAATTTCAGAACTCTGGAATAGAATCAACTAACCCAAATAATCATTCTATAAGTCTCTCTTCTCTCCTAAAATTAAAGAGTCCGAACACCCAATCTTTTCCTTGTATAGGCACTGTTGTACTTAATAATAATAATGATAAAGTTGGAAGGGACCTCGGAGGTCATCTAGTCCAACCTCCTGCTCAGGCAGGAAACCCTATACCATTTCGGACAAATGGCTGTCCAGTTTCTTCTTAAAAACTTCCAGTGTTGGCGCATTCACCGCTTCTGGAGGCAGGTTGTTCCACTGGTTAATTGTTCTAACTGTCAGGAAGTTTCTC